ATATAGATATAGATATAGATATAGATATAGATATAGATATAGATATATCCAGTGTAGAAGGTGTTAAAGATGCCACGGAGATGGCAGAAGCAAAGATACAAGCTGTCCACTGGAACCTTGCCAGTAGGCCTTGAGCCTCATGGTACAATATAAAAGAAATTGGTTAATATAAAAGAAATGGGTTAACCAAAGAGCTAGCTAGCAATATGTTTAAGTGTTTGGCCAAGCAGGGATTTAAATAATATAGTTTGTGTGTGGTTATTTTGGGGCTGGGCAGCCAGAAACAAACAAGCAGCCTCCAACGACAGTGCAGATCTAAACAAAGAATTTTCAGCAGAAGAATCTCAAATGGCTGAATGCCATTTAAGGAATTGGTCAACTTCCTTAATCACCATGGAAATGTAAATAAAAATAACTCAGAGATACTGTCTTACACCTTTCAAAATGGCTAAGATCAAAAGTACTGAGGAGAGCTTTTGTTGGAGAGGATGAGGAATCAGGGGAGCACTCCTCTACTGCTGGCAGGAGTGCCAATATTTAATGTCACTGTCTGTGTGGCTACCCTTTTATGTTCCCTCTTGCCTGTACACTCAGGTAACAGTAAAGTCTTAGGCATCTTACTGTTGCTCTTTCTGAAATTTCACCCCTAGAATATATATAAATTTATGCTTCTTGGTTGCAGAGATGACTCGGTGGTTAATAACAGTGGCTGCTCTTCCACAGGTCATGAGTTAAATTATCAGCATCCTCACGGTTCTTATAACCACCTGTTGTGAGATCTGGTGCCCTCTTCTGCCTGGTAGGGATACAGGCATACAGAATACTCTATATATAATAAAGAAATACATTCTTAAAAATCATTTGTGTTTCTTATTTCTTATTCAAATTTTTTTATGTTCATTTTCTAGAAACTGTTGGAATTGGATGGGACAGTGATGATCCTTCCCAGAAGAATCCTGGCAATAGGCTTCCCAAGCTACAGTGACCAGAATGGAGGCTTTGAGAACAACAACTCAAGATTAATGCACTCACACAATCCTCCTGCTTTATATTTCAGGTTTACCAAAAGATACTGCCATGTACAACTTTGTACTGACTCACTCCCAGATCTATGTTCACATAAGAAGAAAACTCAATCAAATTTGCCAGCTCACACTCAAGTATATGGCCAGCTGACACAGAAAGATTACTGACAACCAGTTATAGGAAAAAAAATGCATCCCAGTTAACCTTAGCTACACTGTGAAAACCCACTCTAATATATTAGCGTACTAATTACATAGAACCAGAACTGATAGCTTGGTGGTTGGATTAATTAATGTATCAATAATTATTACCCCATTCTGAGTTCTTTTACAGGGTGGACATCTGATGCAAATTACACAGATACCATCCAAATCCCCAAAGGAGGAAGAGCGTGGAGATTCAATTATTGAATCAGACTGCAGATTTTGGCTGGGATGTGTGTGGCTACAAAGGAGAAGGATCAGTGGAAGGTGAAGAAAGAGTCAGAGAAGCCAGAGAAACACTCAAAGTTTTGGGGCCTGGAGTCACTGCATGTCCCTTCTGGGATTTGGAGACCTTTCACCAATGTCCAGATCACATAAGTCCCTCAGCTCTACCAGGACATTTCATCTCATGCAGCCTCATTTCTCCTTGTCTTCATCTCGGTGTTGTTAAATATTTCTTTTTTTTTCTTTTTTCTTTATTTATTTGTTTATAAAAATTTCAACTTCCTCCCCTCCTCCCCATACCCTCCCATTCCCCCCACTCCCTCTCCTCCCCCCCAACTCCCTCTCCTCCTCCCTCTCCAGTCCTATGAGCAGTCAGGGTTTCATGCCCTGTGGGAAGTTCAAGTTCCTCCCCTCTCCCTCCAGGTCTAGGAAGGTGAGCATCCAAACAGACAAGGATCCCAAGCAGACAGTACATGCAGTCGAAACAAGACCCAGTGCCATTGTAAATGGCTTCTCAGTCGACCCCCATGCCAGCCACATTCAGAGAATCCGGTTTGTTTCTTTACCATGCTGATTTTTTTTTTTTAGAGCAGAGGTCACTCTTCATTTCATATCCCTTTCTTGCTTGAAAGTTCCAGATATACTCTATTAATTCCACCAATGTAGAATAAAATATGCCATCATTTAAAGTCAACTTTGAAGCAAGCTATTATTAAATACTGGTCAGGTAGAAGGGCTTTGGCAAGGTTCATATCCATGCTCTTGGGAAATGGCCCAGAATGACAGCATTGTCATTGTTTATAAAAGACTCATGTTTAGTTCCCAGCACCCACACCAGTTCCAGGAGATCTTATGTTCCTTTCTGTTCTCAGAAAGTGTCCAAAACCACCACATAAATAAGTACATGAATCTTTAAAACATGCCATTTGGTTAGAGGACCATTTGCTGAAACAGGAACTACCCCTGCCTATGAGCTCTGTAACTATGGGTCTTTGACCATTTGTACAGTACCCAGCACAAATTTCC